CCAACCTATTTCTGTTAGGCCAGTGACTACCTCACTTTTGATAACTTTTGGTCGCTCGAGCAAAACTTTAACCGCTATTGGCGAGCAGGTGACCGTCAATGTCAGGCACTGCTACACAACAAAGGAACAAAGGGAATCTACATATAATTTTGAGAAAGATCCCTCTGGTACTTCCCGAGAAATAGCGATAACAAACTTTCACTATCAAAATCCAAGATGGTTACCTGTTGGCCATGTTGTTTATCCGATCAGTCTCAAAAGTTGCCCTGCACAGCTAAGGACCAAGGGGAACCTACATATAAAATTTGAGAAAGATCCCTCTGGTACTTCTTGAGAAATACCGATAACATGAATTGTTTAAGGACGGACGACGAACCACGGACGCAGGATGATTTGAATAGCCCACCATCAGATGATGGTTGGCTAAAAATGTGAGTATTTTTCATTTAAAACTAAGAGGTTGGGATGACTTAAATCGCTTTTCTGAGTTAAAAGAATAAGTTTTATCAACTCTGTTAACATTCATACATATCTGATAACACATGGAAGATATTGTATGAATTTGTTCTGAAAATGAAAAAAAACAAAAACTAAAATCACATATTATTTTAAATTGGTTTGACTGTTCATACATTTTTTAATTTTTTTTTGGCTTTTTCTATTATGCCGTTAAAACCTTTTTTCCAAAGGTGCATATAAGTTTAAATCAGATTTTTCTCATTTTACTTCTCAGAGAATACATCTTTAAACCTTTAAACTTGATACCTGTGTGTTTACAGTGCTAACCAAACACTTATAAAAGGTTTTTAGTGTCTACTTTGGCGCGATGAACAGTCAATTTGATGATTTTTATGTTTTTCAGAACTTCTCTAATATTTGAAAAAGTACATGTCTCTTCATATCCATCAAGTAACGAAACCATTGAGAACCCATATGTAATGGTAAGAGATACCCTACAGCCTTTTGCATAGAAATGTTTAATCCTTGGATAGCATGGTTTTACATAATTTCCTGTATATCACTTATCATTTAGAACTAAAAATTAACGTTATTGCTCACCCGCTTTATTTTTTTATCTTTACCTACTAAATGACAAGCATGGCAACACTTCAGTTGACTTTCCTTTCCTTGGTATTATCACAATAAAAGTCCTGCTTTGAGATATTCTCTGTCGCAAACTAATTCCATAGATATGTCTTGTTAAACAATAAACTACTCAGCCAGACTTAAATATACGTCTACCGAATAGTACGGGCATCGTGATCTGTTTACCACGTTTCATTTAATAGCTATTTGTTCCCTGACTTTAATCACCGGTGACCAACATCCTTTTTGATTAAAGGGATAAGTAACAACAGATGTCGCCTGACGTGTAAGAAATGTTTTGTTGTTTTTATGTGTTTACGCGGTGGTATTTTGCTCTTTGTAATTTATTACGAACAACAATTATCTTAGTCTTAGTCCAAGTTCAAGTCGAATATAAAACTAGATGTCCATGCCAGGAAGCCGGTATCATATCTGTGGACTGAAGTGTTTGCAATAGTCGAGAGTTAGCAACCAAACGTTCTTGATGACGGTTTCTCCGCTTATTGCATCTGTGAAGCTTCAGTGGTTTGGACGTCTTGATTACAAGTGAAGGTCGATAGTGTGCTAGCAGTCAAAATCAAACAAGGAAATTAGCATTTGATGACAGATCGAATACTGCAGCATTGAAATAAGAGCGAGAGAGTGATGAAGTTGTCTAGTAGCGTTGGGCAGTTGATTCATGTTGCATCCGCCATTGACGATGTAAACAGAGGGATATTGAATAGCAAGGACAGAGAGATATCCAAGAGACACTAGAAGCATATGCTCGTTCTGTCAGAAGTCAAAAGTAGCCATGATTAAATACTCAATGGGATTTTATATTAGCAATATGACTGACAACCGCCTTTATACATAAAATATGATACGCCTCCATCTTTTTTCCTCATTATCGGTATTTGTAACGTCAGTAGTAACAAGATTATAACCCGATGGTTCTTAGGCAAAAGATTTATAAATGCGATTAAAGTAAAAAAATGTATGTGTATGTACATTATGTGAATGATCTGAATTCGCCAAGTAAAACTTGCAAGCTTCCCGAGTTGTCCCACTTCTGGAGTATCAACCAACGTAGGAGACATACCAGGACAGAGTATGATGTATTAGCGTTTAGGGATGGTAACGAAAGGAAGAACGGAGAAAGCATATATATATTTATATAGTATGCTAATGGCAAATAACGCATACCAACTGACAATTCTAATAAAATTCAGAAAAACAACTTGTTCCATAAGAAGGTAAATGAAAGTTAGTGAATACGTATTGGTTAAAAAGCAGAATAGACAGGCTATGATTGTCTATATCCAGATAGCACTCCGATGGTAAATTATACGGTCGGGTAATAAAAGTATATCAAGCATCATAAATTATAATGGATAAAATGATAAAACTATCAGAAGAAGCACACTCCCTAACAATTCATAAGCAATACCTTTTGATGATGCATCGTCATTTTCATTAGGACAGGTTTGAGCCTAAATGTCTATTTGCTAACTAAACGGAAGGTTCCGGATATTTAATTTTCAGAAAAAGGTGTCCGTAACCTTTGACAAATCACTTCTTATATTATTATAACATTCCTTGAGCTTTGCATGATAATTTGTTCTGAGGTTAGGAACCAGGCAAAATGATCATTTTAGTAAATATCATCTTTAACTTTGAAAAACCGGAGGCTCAAAAAATTTAGGATTCTTCCATTTTCATCGGGAAATCACAATCCACATACCGAGTTTAAAATATTTGCACTTACTTCTAAAGTGAGCCTTGGGACAGGTCACTTGTTTAGTGCAATTCAATAGTCAAGTAACAGTATTCTTTACCGTTCAAGAATCATTCCCAAAACAAATAGGACTTTTTCATAGGGCCATCTGCATACGTACCCATCTTCTTTGTGTGATCATTTGCTCCTAGGTCAGCACAGGGTAAGGCGATTCTATTTTTAATCAAACTGACCTTGATATTTGATGAACCATGCCCAAATCGATTGTTTTCTTTTCTGCTGTTACCTACCTTCTACGTTTGGGATTTCTCCAATCATTCATTCTAAAAATCGTCATTTCTTTTAATTAATATAATTCTGTTTTAGCAAGTGATCTTTTACGTTGACGGATACGCCCACAATCAATAGGATTTGTCCAGAATAATATACATGTCAAGTCAAATATTTGTGTGATTGTCCAGGGGTAATATTCCGGACAAAAACAAACTTTTTTGTTACACTGACTTTGACCTATTTGGAATCACGGGTTCCAATGCAAAATATATTGGATTTTAAGCCTTTCCTTGCTTAAACAGTCTCCTGTTTTTGAGATTTGCGCAATCATTAATTCTTAAGTTAACATTCGGACAAGAAATGTAAACGAAAGGGCGGACGAGCTTACTCGTGCTACATCGTGCAAGAACTAATCGTTTGAATTTATTTTCATTGGCGATATTTATGGAGAGTCTAAATATTTTGGTACCGGTAAATAGCCACAATACTTTCGTTATTTCCAGATAAAACAAATATTGACAAAAGCCAGGGATAAACTATCTTCAAAACACTTCTCATGAATGACAAAATGAATACAACTGTGTAACGTAACCGTATTGGAGTGGCTTGGCTTGTACGCTGTGCTTGCGACATAGCGAAATGTGATTCCTGTCGCCATATTTACACCGGTGTTAACGAACGGCAGTCTTATATAGGACTTGAAATCATGACAATTGTCACATGTGCGGGCATATTAAACTTCCGTTTCCAATAAATCCGGAAATTTGACTTTCTGAATTGCTTTGTAATGTCCAGTCCGCGTAAGACACCAGAGTTAACCCTTCTTATCATAGGCGTTATTGAATGTGACTGAGTGTGACGTGGCATGCAACCTTAAGCTCAATATTTCTAGCCCAAATCCTACTTATTGGGTTTCTGTCGCCAGGATTATCGTACTATTTTCAGTTTTCTATCGATTACGCAAAATTGTCGGGGAAGATTAAAAGGTGAACTGTTACATGATTTTATGATTTTAGACATTTTATTTAAAAAATGTCAAACATATTTTTACTGGCTAAAATACAAAAAGCAGAAATGTTATAGTGATTCTGAAGATTTTTTTTTTTTTTTGACATGACTAATTCCAACTAAGTCGCCTCCTTTTTGTCTTGGATTTTTGTTTTCTTCCTGTTCCTTCGGCCTCTGATCTCGACCCTAAAGGGTATTTGTTCTGGTGATCATGTATCGTTTATAACCTGAGCAATATTGTTAACACACAACTTGGCGAAATCTCCCGTTTATAAATTTGTAAAAACTGTCAGTTAATTCTTGTTCATGATTAATTTTAAAGGGTACCATTCGTAAGCTTCGCAATAGCATATATGTTCAGCTGATTCAGCGAAAACTTATTTTGTGACAACATTATTGATTCCTTATGTTTCGTTAATATTTATGTTTCAAGTGAAACGCAAATAAATGCCTCGCAAATAGGCAAGGAATAGTCAGTTATTATGACAGGAAATACAAGTTAACCATGTCCTACATACTTTTCTTTATTTGACGAAAGACATCACAATGGGTGTTGCATGTGTACCAGAAACGCTTACTTTCCGACGTACCAGGTTTTGCATCTGGCTTTAGTAGCGCTTCGTGTAATATGATTAGCACACCTCCATAATCAAACGGTGTTGTACAGCTCCTTTTTTCTCCGATTCCCCATTTATTTGTATTGCATACAACATGATCCTATCAATGTTACCTACAGCTATACTGCCATTATCTAATTGGTAGCCCTTCACACGAATTATGGCTGCTAAGCATCCAACGTTCTCAAACTCAAAATAACCCGTTTGATAATTCTGAAAGACGTAAATCAGATAAAAATGAAAACACAACACGCAAAATATTATTTAGAAATATATTTTATAATTCAATGTATACGATATTGAAATAAATACAACTTAATGTACATTTATATAAACATTCTACAGATAATATACACTCCTTTAAACAAACGATACAAAACCATATGAAAAGAAATGAAAAAGGAACGGATATAAAATGGTCGCAGAAAACAAAAGCATTAAAAGTTGGAGTTTGAAACGCCTATACATATCACAGATAAAAAAAACTAGACTTGTTTTCAGGGGAATGTAAATAGTATAAATTCCAATATGGACGCTGATGATACAAGTGGAGATCAAAGAGAAAACAATCAAACAATGCTCCAATGACACCAGTCGACGGTAATTGGTAACAGTTTCTATCAAATATAAACCAGAACACTACTAACTAAACTGAATGTGTCGGTCTAATTCAACACAAATGCACATCCACTCTCAGCATAGTTAACCTATTCCAGTTGTACATGTATTTAATGGTAAAAATAATGTATATTCTAAATTGCCCCGATTCCATTGAAAAAAAACCCTAGCTCTTCAAAGTATTCCGAAGTACTGACTTGAAAATAAAATGAAATAACTGTACTGATCGTAAGTCGCCACAGAAATCTACCATTCCAGAGAAATAGTTTGTGTGGGCGGGTGTGATAGAATTGTAATCGGACGGGATGACTCTGTAACGCTGACACTGAAGATGTAACACAGAAACGCTTTTATAGGCCTTTTGATCGTTACATCGTTCATAATCTAGACATTCCAAATGACACATCATTCGGGGCGTTAAGGAACAAGAAATGTATTTGAATATACGCGTAATAATGGTCGATTATCTCGTGACGTAAAGAGGGATTGGAGATGGACACGCGCTGTCATACGCCATTTTAAAAATTTATTTATTGATTATTCCAATGCCACTTTTAATGCAATAAAACAATGAAAATGATTGACCATACATAACATGTTTATTGATAATCCAAAGATTAGAAGAGATTATTGAACGCTTGAATGATCAACAGCTGAAAGGAATCGGATATGAAACATAAATGTGCATATGGAAAGATTTTACTGAAATGCATTATTTTATAAACATTATCCGGGACATTTGTTAAACAATATACTGGCCTATAGTTATTACAGTACATAATAACTCTAACAGATTTCCTCGAATCTACCTAATCTTAATCTACGAACTTTCTTGTCCATTACATCGGGAGGAAATATATGTCAGACGTCACAGCAAAAGGTCATCCAAACAATTCGACAAGCAAGTTTGGTTAAATACCATTTTTTATTGACAGATTTATAGTATTTTTAGCTGAACATATCTTGAATTATCTTGTTTTCGTCAGGTTTAGAACTACAATATAAACGATCAGATAAATGGCAAATTCTTATTAGTTTTTTTGGGGTTCATGATCGTGGGTCAAGTTACCCCTGGTATTATTCCATCGCCCACGACGATTTCTCATTCCATACATATATTAAAAGAATTCAATATTTTCAGAGACTTTCGATACTAAAGATGTGCAAATCGTCATCCACTTCAGAAAATTATGAGATTCTGTCAATGAGTTGAAGTAATACTAGTAGTGCGAAATCCTACAAAACATCAATCATTAAATGGTACATACAAAGAACAAGATAACAGGACTGTTTTCCAATACAAAAACATTATAGTATTGAGACAAAATCATTGTTTTTAAAAGTGACTTTGCTTCAAGTTCCACCTTCCCTGTCTTCACAATTATATCAGATGTACTCTACAAAACGATGTTACAGAAACGTAATGTTTTCTCTCATGGAGGAATTACTCAGCGAACTGTATTGATTAAAGTTGTGTGATATATTTACAACTATTTGTTGGAGAGAATATTAAAGAGTATTTTAAGACTTTATGAGTTAACATAGGTGGGGTATTTTTAACGATTTTTAATGACATGTTGTAATTTATTTTATTTATTTGCTACAAAATTGGATTTGATAGGAGCCAAATGAAAGGCACAATATATGGCACAGGAAATGCCTGTCGTTTCGGGCCACCTGGTTTCACTAGTTGTTGTTCATTTGAGTGAATTTTGGCTCCCGTTATTGTCTGTTAGTGCCGACAGCGAATTCCGATTTTGTCCATTTTGTGTTGTACTTCTACATATTTTTTTCTATATTACTTATCACAGCTTGAATTAATTTGAAATTTCTGTACGGGAGAAGAAGGTTGTTTTCCTTTAAAAGATACAGATAATGTGGCTTATTACAATCAACCCCTTATATAATACCAAACCTACGGCAAGCAAAGATAAAAATGAAAAATAAATGTGATATACGATGTAAATACTGAGGTATTTTCTCTTGAGTATATACTTCGTTACTTAATCAATAATTGCTCAGATAGATGTATATACTTGTTGTTAGTGTTTTGATACACGTCTGAGGTGTTAAAGAAGATCAGACCAATTCGGTAGTGTATAGCCTTCTAGGAAAGCCAGACAAACTGTTGGCATAACTTGACCATATATATGTTCGGTAGAATATATATGTAGTTCGACTGGTTTGTTGTGGTTTTTGTGTCGTTTTTTTTTTGTTTTTTTTGTTTTTGAGAAAACAAAAATCCGAAAACAATCAAATGTCCACCTTTAAAATCGAAACATTCCAAAAGGGTAATTTCAAAACTATTCTGAACAAAGGCAAAGGTTAAACATCGATTACAGGTGATTCATCGCACTATTAACATGAAAACATCGTGTTTCATTTCATCTAAACCTTTCACCATTACTCTTCCTCTAATTAAAAAGGCTTTGTGTACAATACCGTTGTCAATCACGTAACAGGTTTCCAATTAAATACCCCGCCAGTATGGTAATATTTCCCAACAGATTAGAGTAAAATCCATTATATTCCTTATCTGAATATAACAGTCAATAAAACGCTTATCTCAACAGAATTTTCAATATGCCTCATATTTGCAAATGGACCAAATATCCTGTTTTTGTGCACACATCAAAATCACGGAGATAATAGAGGCTAACACATATTTTACAGTAAACCAGCTACTATTTAAACAATTTGTCCATAACGCCAGTACACCAATACAGAACACAACATAGTTGAGTTGCTCTGTGTGGTAAATAAATCAAATTCCATAGATCTTTCCAATTTGTTTTACACCATGACATCTTCTTGGTATTACAAGACATAAATCATACTGTGATCCTATTACCAAGCTTATGTTTGGCTTCCTGAAGTGCGAGACCGTGTCAAAAAGCTACACTCAATCAATATCATTTTAACACTGTTCTAATTGAAAAAGCTTGCTGCAATTTAAACACATAATCATTCCGCCTTAACGTGAAACGATGTTTACTGTGGACAGTTTATGGTCTATTCTCATCAACTGATGAAAGGTTTACTGTAATAGTGTTCAATGGAAACAAACTAACACGAAATAATTTAACAAATACAAACAAATTAACAAGTAGTTATGCGACAAAACAATGTCCTGGAGTAATTCATCTTGATCAACTGTCAATTTTTAACAGGCATCGGGTGGGTGTTTTGAAACAATTATTGAATTTACTCACTCAAACATCCTTTTACACAGTAATTTTTGCAAATTCCTTCAACAGGCTTTGAAAACACTCGGGGAACAACAACAAATTACAGTTAGAGGGCATAAGTGTATTACTAGAGTCCCAATAAGGAAACACTACCAAACTCACATAGTACACAAAACATCAGCTAGAGAGTCCCAATAAGGAAACACTACCAAACTCACATAGTACACAAAACATCAGGCACACCTGCATCCTTTAAGACCAATACAAGTGTTAGGCAAATGTGTGTAAAGCATATTGTTGAATTGACTGGTTCTTATGTTTAACTTATTTTAATCCAACAGATCAAGCAAGAGGAAAGGTATGATGTATCATCATTATGTTTAATTTACAACCTTATTGATCCAGATTTTCAGAGCAAATTAAGATCATTAAGTATATCCCTTCATTTCAATGAAGCCTGATCAAATACGTGATTATCAACTTTGAGGAAACAAAATGTTTCCTCCATTTATGAATAAATAATTTTAGTACAATACATCTACAGGATGAATTTGGCACAATATCACTGCCTACAAACCAAAACTATCCTGATTGGCTAATTAAATCAGCACACTTAATTTAAGGATACATTCACTGAAAACTGCTCATAATAAGGTCTACTCACAGCTGCTTTCCTATCTAATCCATATTGAACCGGTACATATTAACAATTATCAAGCTGTCCTCATTAATTTCAGAGTATGTTGTGTCACCTCACAACCTTCCTGATCTTCTTAGAGTTATCTTTTGCCTTGCGGATCTTCTTACCCTGTTGTTTCATCAGGTCAGCCATCTCTGGAATAGTACATTTAATCAGTGTGTCATTATTCGTACCTAAATGTCTTTCCTTTAATTATCCCTATATGAATGTTTCATTTGTAAACACTGATGTAATACCTAATTCTGTATCTGATTAATCTAATATTTTTAGTTTCTTTTGATGAAAATGATATGCCCCCACTGTATGTAGTGTACAATGGCAAAAGTCTGGTGTCTGATCATGAGTGATGAGGTTACCCTACCAAGACATAGTATCTTAATCTGATCTTAAAAGACATCAGCATTTGTGCTTCATTGACACTACGCAAAAACATTTTGAGCAACATAAATAAACACCTACCTATTTGAACCTTTTTTCATTGTCACATTTCGCAGTATTAAGCTAATTAAGTGTCTTAATGAACAATAATTGAATTCTTTGTTTTAAGGTTTTCCAAGATTATAACCCTATTTTGACCTCGCCCTTCAGTCTTTTTAAGTAAACTGTCCCTCAGCTTATCTATTTGTACTTTTCTGAACCCTCATCACATAATGATGCTTCAAGTCAAATTTTGTGAAATTGAATTTAGCGGTTCATCAGAAGATGTTTAAGATCCCAAAGAAAACTCATTAAAATATCCAACATAATTGTTTTACACTAGTTTATCTCTTGTTTATATGGCCGATTTCAGAATTCATGTATACGTCTCGAAAAATCTGAAACTATTCCACATACATAGGTACCTGTTTTTACATGCCTGTCTGCAGACAACTTCAGTATTAATCTCTTATGACACAGCCAGCTCTGTATCACTTTTTATACACTTGTTTTTGCACTATTAATAATCTGCAGACAAGAAAATAAGTCATGCTCATGTCTCAGAAAACTATAAATACATCCTACAGCATGCTTGTTTTTACACTAGTCTCCCAAGAACTTTTGCATTGATGTTTATGTCACTGAAAGCTGTATAACATACCATGTGTCAGATGGCAGTCTTACAGTAGTGTGTGACTGACTTAGAATCAATTAGTGGTGATATGGCTCCCCCGACAAGGGCTGACCTTTCTTGCTCACCTTTTATTGTAAATACAATACGGTGTTAAGCCTTACTTGTCTCAAATAACATTCGCTATTGTCACATGATGGGCAAACACTGCCAAACATGGCTTGAGCTTGGTACTTGTATATGAAGCATTGTGCCATTACTAGAATACATGTAACCCCTGTAACCCACTCCTTCTCCACCCCACTAGAATACATGTAACCCCTGTAATCCCCTCCTCCCCCAACCCACTAGAATATATGTAACCCCTGTAGCCCCCTCCTTCTCCAACCCACCAGAATACATGTAACCCCTGTAGCCCCTCCTTCTCCACCCCACTAGAATACATGTAACCCCTGTAATCCCCTCCCTCTCCAACCCACCAGAATACATGTAACCCCTGTAGCCCCCCCCTTCTCCCCCCAACTAGAATACATGTAACCCCTGTAGCCCCCCCCTTCTCCCCCCAACTAGAATACATGTAACCCCTGTAGCCCCCCCCTTCTCCCCCCAACTAGAATACATGTAACCCCTGTAGCCCCCCCCTTCTCCCCCCAACTAGAATACATGTAACCCCTGTAGCCCCCTCCCACCCCACCCACTAGAATACATGTAACCCCTGTAATCCCCTCCCTCTCCAACCCACCAGAATACATGTAACCCCTGTAACCCCCTCCTTCTCCACCACACTAGAATACATGTAACCCCTGTAATTCCCTCCTTCTCCACCCCACAAGAATACATGTAACCCCTGTAATCCCCTCCTCCCTCAACCCACTAGAATACATGTAACCCCTGTAATCCCCGCCTCCCCCAACCCACTAGAATATATGTAACCCCTGTAACCCCCTCCTCCCCCCCAACCCACTAGAATACATGTAACCCCTGTAACCCCCTCCTACTCCAACCAACTAGAATACATGTAACCCCTGTAGCCCCCCCCTTCTCCCCCCAACTAGAATACATGTAACCCCTGTAGCCCCCCCCTTCTCCCCCCAACTAGAATACATGTAACCCCTGTAGCCCCCTCCCACCCCACCCACTAGAATACATGTAACCCCTGTAGCCCCCTCCCACCCCACCCACTAGAATACATGTAACCCCTGTAAACCCCTCCTTCTCCAACCCACTAGAATACATGTAACACCTGTAATCCCCTCTTCCCTAAACCCACTAGAATACATGTAACCCCTGTAACCCCCTCCTTCTCCCCCCCACTAGAATACATGTAACCCCTGTAACCCCCTCCTACTCCAACCAACTAGAATACATGTAACCCCTGTAGCCCCCTCCCCCCCCACCCACTAGAATACATGTAACCCCTGTAGCCCCCTCCTTCTCCACCCCACTAGAATACATGTAACCCCTGTAGCCCCCTCCTTCTCCAACCCCCCAGAATACATGTAACCCCTGTAGCCCCTCCTTCTCCACCCCACTAGAATACATGTAACCCCTGTACTCCCCTCCTTCTCCACCCACTAGAATACATGTAACCCCTGTAACCCATCCTTCTCCAACCCACTAGAATACATGTAACACCTGTAATCCCCTCTTCCCTAAACCCACTAGAATACATGTAACCCCTGTAACCCCCTCCTACTCCAACCAACTAGAATACATGTAACCCCTGTAGCCCCCCCCTTCTCCCCCCAACTAGAATACATGTAACCCCTGTAGCCCCCTCCCACCCCACCCACTAGAATACATGTAACCCCTGTAGCCCCCTCCTTCTCCAACCAACTAGAATATATGTAACCCCTGTAACCCCCTCCTTCTCCAACCCACTAGAATACATAATACATGTAACCCCTGTAATCCCCTCCTTCTCCCCCCACTAGAATACATGTAACCCCTGTAACCCATCCTTCTCCAACCCACTAGAATACATGTAACCCCTGTAACCCCCTCCTTCTCCACCCCACAAGAATACATGTAACCCCTGTAATCCCCTCCTCCCTAAACCCACTAGAATACATGTAACCCCTGTAACCCCCTCCTCCCCCCCAACCCACTAGAATACATGTAACCCCTGTAACCCCCTCCTTCCCCACCCAACTAGAATACATGTAATCCCTGTAACCCAATCCCCTCCTCCCCCAACCCACTAGAATATATGTAACCCCTGTAACCCCCTCCTTCTCCCCCCAACTAGAATACATGTAACCCCTGTAATCACCTCCTTCTCCAACCCACTAGAATACATAATACATGAAACACCTGTAATCCCCTCCTCCCCCAACCCACTAGAATATATGTAACCCCTGCAACCCCCTCCTTCTCCACCCAACTAGAATACATGCAACCCCTGTAACCCACTCCTTCTCCACCCCACTAGAATACATGTAACCCCTGTAACCCACTCCTTCTCCACCCCACTAGAATACATGTAATCCCTGTAACCCCCTCCTTCTCCACCACACTAGAATACATGTAACCCCTGTAACCCACTCCTTCTCCACCCCACTAGAATACATGTAACCCCTGCAACCCCCTCCTTCTCCACCCAACTAGAATACATGTAACCCCTGTAAGCCCCTCCTTCTCCAACCCACTAGAATACATGTAACCCCTGTAACCCCCCCCTTCTCCACCCCACTAGAATACATGTAATCCCTGTAACCCAATCCCCTCCTCCCCCAACCCACTAGAATATATGTAACCCCTGCAACCCCCTCCTTCTCCACCCAACTAGAATTCATGTAACCCCTGTAACCCCCTCCTTCCCCACCCAACTAGAATACATGTAATCCCTGTACCCCCCTCCTTCTCCCCCACACTAGAATACATGTAACCCCTGTAGCCCCCTCCTTCCCCACCCAACTAGAATACATGTAACCCCTGTAGCCCCCTCCTCCCCAACCCACTAGAATACATGTAACCCCTGTAGCCCCCTCCTTCTCCGACCCACCAGAATACATGTAACCCCTGTAGCCCCCTCCTTCCCCACCCAACTAGAATACATGTAACCCCTGTAGCCCCCTCCTTCCCCACCCAACTAGAATACATGTAACCCCTGTAGCCCCCTCCCACCCCACCCACTAGAATACATGTAACCCCTGCAACCCCCTCCTTCTCCACCCAACTAGAATACATGCAACCCCTGTAACCCACTCCTTCTCCACCCCACTAGAATACATGTAACCCCTGTAATCCCCTCCTCCCTAAACCCACTAGAATATATGTAACCCCTGTAACCCCCTCCTTCTCCACCCAACTAGAATACATGTAACCCCTGTAGCCCCCTCCTTCTCCACCCAACTAGAATACATGTAACCCCTGTAGCCCCCTCCTTCTCCACCCCACTAGAATACATGTAACCCCTGTAACCCCCCCCTTCTCCACCCCACTAGAATACATGTAACCCCTGTAGCCCCTCCTTCTTCAACCCACTAGAATACATGTAATCCCTGTAACCCCCTCCTTCTCCACCCCACTAGAATACATGTAACCCCTGTAGCCCCTCCTTCTTCAACCCACTAGAATACATGTAACACCTGTAACCCCCTCCCCCCCAACCCACTAGAATACATGTAACCCCTGTAATCCCCTCCTTCTCCAACCCACTAGAATACATGTAACCCCTGTAACCCCCTCCTCCCCCAACCCACTAGAACAGTAGCCACAGAGAAAAGCAACTTCGTCAGTTCCCATCATTCATTGCTACATGTACATTAGACAGTGAATTTTACGATCAGAATATACTTGGAAAAGATCAAAGATGGATGCAATGCTCAACATGTAAAGAATAAAAAAGTTATTTTATAACTTCACAGAAATGTCCCTTGTGCTGGTATGGTGCTCATCTTATATGTAACTGGTTAGAATTTGTGTATATTTTGTTGCTGTAAAGTCTGAAAGGTAAAAGAAAAGGTTGTGAGTTTACCTTTGTTTTCTTTCTGTAGTGACCCGCCCATCTTGGACAGTGATTCTATTCTCTCCTCCAACCTCTTACACAGATCCTGTGTATTAGATACCAGTCGGGTTGAGCCTGTTTAAAGAAGATCTAATAGATTAATTCTTAATTTAAATGATGACATACAAAATTTGTTACATGATATGTTTCTATGTCTGTAGAAGAAAAAAAAACAGAAAACTGAAAGAAAAAAAAACCTGTTTGGATCAATCACATAACTTACTAAAGTAAACGTGCCTTAAACATGTCAATTTATTCACACTTCAAGCAAACATAAAAAGTTAAAATGTATCCACACTTGGAAAGAACCCAATCATATTGAGTATGCTTTTGGTAATATTCAGCACGATGGAAATATTATTAATTATAATCATTAAAACAATAACGTTCATTTCTTTAAATCACTTTATGAATGTAATATATCATTTTAGCAATAAATGTTTGTTTTTTTAAAGTGGTGGTTAATTATTCATAATTGTGACTCGAATGAATTTTTGATGGCAAAGTAAAATGTTTTCAATTAAATACTTCCCGAATTAGCCCTACAACAGTTAATGATATAAAGTACTTTTACAAAGTTACACCTAAACCAGGTAACACTTAAGGAGAAGTATAGCACTATTTCAATAATCAAACTGCATTTTTTAAAATAAGTACAGTGGCCAAAGTAGGATATTAATCTCCTTTAAAACTAAATACTGTATCAGCTTTATCTTACTACACAACTTGTAACTTGTTGAGACGTATATTGGTGTGAAATGTGATGTCAGAATGTAAGTAAGTGTGTCCATAAAGGGGTGTTACATGCTGCTATAACATTGTATGTTATCACCAAGTACTACATGACGTCAAAGTAATACAAGTATGTTATCACCAAGTACTACATGACGTCAATGTAATACAAGTATGTTATCACGAAGAACTACATTACGTCAAAGTAATACAAGTATGTTATCACGAAGTACTACATTACGTCAAAGTTATACAAGTATGTTATCACCAAGTACTACATTACGTCAAAGTAATACNCATATTGTATTACTAAAACTGTACATGTACTGACATTTCATAGCTACATTTTGTATTACTGAAACTGTACATGTACTGACATTTCATAGCTATTACTGAAACTGTACATGTACTGAAATTTGATAACTATGACTGAAGCTGTACATGTACTGACATTTCATAGCGACATTTTGTATTACTGAAACTGTACATGTACTGAAATTTGATAACTATGCCTGAAGCTGTACATGTACTGACATTTCAAAGCTATTACTGAAACTATACATGTACTGACATTTCATAGCTTTTACTGAAACAATACAAGTATGTTATCACCAAGTACTACATTAAGTCAAAGTAATACAAGTACTGAAATTTCATAACTATGACTGAAGCTGTACATGTACTGACATTTCATAGCTATTACTGAAGCTGTACATGTACTGACATTTCATAACTATGACTGAAGCTGTACATGTACTGACATTTCATAGCTATTACTGAAACTATACATGTACTGACATTTCATAGCTATTACTGCAACTGTTCATGTACTGACATTTCATAGCTATTACTGAAACTGTACATGTACTGACATTTCATAGCTATTACTGAAACTGTACATGTACTGACATTTCATAGCTATTACTGCATTACACGATTTTATTGCTTTTCTGCAGACTACTACCTTATGTAATTCAACTGATGAATTGGTTATTTATCAATACAACACTTTAAACATCAGAGAATTGCATCCCACACTGCAGACATAGGAATAGTCTGCATAAAGAGACCATTTATTGTAATGGCCCAATATTGTTTCCTGATGGATTAGGTGCAATTTCTATTAGAATAAACACATTTACTGCATTGCACTCTATATTAACACAAGAATTCCAGGAGAGTGGATGTGTCGCATGCTCAGCACTTTTAGTACTAGTAAGAAAAGTGTTTTGGCTTGAGTTATCGCGTAAACAGATATGCTAAAAGGCGGAAAGTTAAAACTTGACAGAAAAATTTGTAATATATGTTGAACATTATTGCTTTTAGCATTACTGTACAAAGTTTGAAAGGAATTCATAAAAAAAATAAAAAAGTTTTTGCATTTACTACACAATGCCCTTATTTGGCAATAAAAGGGGCATAACTCCACCAAAAATACACGTAAATGTCTGAAATGCAAACTTGTCTGAGCTATATTGGTATGCAATATGTGTACCAAGTTTGAGTTGAATCAACCCGAGGAAACTCAAGTTATTGCACGAAAACCTTGTTTCGGACGACGTAGCTGACGACGCCGCCGATGACACTGACAAAGTAATACCTCTATGTCGCCTCGCGTTGCAGGCGGCACAATAAATGGTTTGCATATCAGCCATTTTTTCCTAAGAAACTGATTCAAATAATCTTCACTTGAATTGACACTACTAAGTGGCCCCCCCTTTATAGGATGTATCACACAGCACAATTGTAAGTACACATAGTACTGGTTGGTAGGCACTCATAACAGCTATGTCAACAACTACAGTAGTGCTGTTATATTTATAGCTCAAACAATTTTAGTTAAACACGTAACTCCGCCAGACAAAAAAAAAATACAATTGGAATATGATGCATGTTTGTGAATAAAATGTAGAGAAGCAAAATTAGTTCTTTATTTAACAACAAGTTCTCCAATGATTGGACAAAGTAATTACCAATCCCCTCTATAAGTTTTGCTGACGGCTTTTCTATTTCACAACTTATTTGTGTGCCTTAAACTAACATGACAATGAATATTAAATCTTTGACTAGTATACATTACAATCTTTGACTAGTATACATTACAATCTTTGACTAGTATACATGACAATCTTTGACTAGTATCACTACAATCTTTGACTAGTATACATTACAATCTTTGACTAGTATACATGACAATCTTTGACTAGTATACATTACAATCTTTGACTAGTATACACTACAATCTTTGACTAGTTTACACTACAATCTTTGACTAGTTTACATTACAATCATTACAATCTTTGACTAGTATACATTACAATCTTTGACTAGTATACATTACAATCTTTGACTAGTATACATTACAATCTTTGACTAGTATACATTACAATCTTTGACTAGTATACATTACAATCTTTGACTAGTATACATTACAATCTTTGACTAGTATACATTACAATCTTTGACTAGTATACATTACAATCTTTGACTAGTATACATTACAATCTTTGACTAGTATACATTACAATCTTTGACTAGTATACATTACAATCTTTGACTAGTATACATTACAATCTTTGACTAGTATACATTACAATCTTTGACTAGTATACATTACAATCTTTGACTAGTATACATTACAATCTTTGACTAGTATACATTACAATCTTTGACTAGTATACATTACAATCTTTGACTAGTATACATTACAATCTTTGACTAGTATACATTACAATCTTTGACTAGTATACATTACAATCTTTGACTAGTATACATTACAATCTTTGACTAGTATACATTACAATCTTTGACTAGTATACATTACAATCTTTGACTAGTATACATTACAATCTTTGACTAGTATACATTACAATCTTTGACTAGTATCACTACAATCTTTGACTAGTTTACATTACAATCTTTGACTAGTATACATTACAATCTTTGACTAGTATACA